ATTCACATTTGGTAGCACATATAAATTTTGGTCCCGATTGGAGTCGCTATAGTAGTAGCGATTTTAGGTACTAGATGAAAACAATAATATTAATTTTTTGAGTCTCCATAGAGGAATCTTAACTTTGGCCCCTGTCCGACACACCTTAACCGTCTCCAATGGTTTGCAACTTACTCCAACGCGCACAAAGGCGCAACAGGAAAAATCTGCGAACAAATGGTTCATTAGGTTTTGAAACAACAAAGAGCTGGTTGCAACTTACTCATCTGCACGATGGTGCACACAATCAAATTCGGCTGCAGCTGCAGTTCCCCAGAGGATGCTGCAAATGGAATGGTTCATGAATAAAGTCAAAATAATATGTTTTAGCTTACGTGTATTAGCTCTTAATCACAATACCAGCACAGGTCGGCCAGGAAACAGTAAGGAAATGACCTAATAAATGCAAAACCAACCTATAACACCTTTCATTATTGCATCAAGGTTTTATTTATAGTAACTTCGTTTTGACATTTGACATGAGAACCCTGCACCGCCACCAAAGATTACAACACATTTACATGTGGAGCTTTTAAAGAAAAATTGTGCCGAGTTTCAACTCAGCATTGATTTATATTTTGATTCATGCGCTTATGCATAAATATACGAACCTTGATTAGAAAGAAATGATACTCTTCGTGATTTTATCAACATATGAAAATTAAACTAAATATTTAGTTTTCCAGTTTCAATTTTTAATGCATATAATGTGAATAAGTTTACATTTAGTCAAGTTTAGATTTAGTCAAGTTTAGATTTAGTCAAGTTTAGAAGCTGAAAGATAAACTAAAAGTAAAAAAGCGGAAAATGTGGGTGCGCAAGTGGATCCGAAGGCGTGCAGAATTGGGTGCATCTGATAACTTATACCGGGAGTTGGCATCCGAAGATGTTAACTATTTTAAGCAATGCTTGAGGATGAACCCTGCACAATTCGAAGATTTGCTTGCAAAAGTGGCGCCGCTTATTGAAAAGCAGGACACAATAATGCGTGAGGCACTTACGCCTCGAATAAAACTACAAATTGCTTTGAAGTTTTTGGCCACGGGCGACAACTATTTAAGCCTGTCAGAGAGCTTTCGAGTTCCAAGGTCAACTATCTCTGAGCTCCTAAAAGAAGTGCTTGATAGCATTTATGCTGTTCTGCAAGAATATATTCAGGTAAATATAAGCAGGTTTAGTTTTACGGTAATCGGTGAAAGTGATGCAGTGCGACTAGGGCCGGCGGTGGAAAATCTGGGGTGGGTAGTAAATATCTCCTTGGTTGTAGTCCTACATAGTGTTGGAAAATCACAGAGCAGACGCTCCACCATATATTCTGCATCTGGTGGATTACAGCTACGACAAGAAGTGTTGTGATGCAGTCCTAGTCTTGCAGCATGGATTCTCACGGCCCAGTGCCCTGTGTAAACATCGACTCCATGCATATAACACGGTTCGGTAACGTTGATAATGATTTTAATCGGAGATTAGAGTCAACCAGGCTTTGAGCAAATGGCCCTTATGCCCGTTTTCACCATCTCTGGTTAACCCTAATCTCAAGTTAAACATCGCTATCGACGTTACCTACTCCATTCAAATAACTTTGAGGCTGAATATTTCTTATAATTCTCATAAACTTCCAAATAAAAGAATTACACCCTTTATTTCATTTTTTATACTAAAAACATTTTTTATTAATTCATTTTATAAGACATACATATTTAAAAAAAAAAGTTTCAGAAGTATTCGTCGTCTTGTTGCTCAACCGTTTCTACTTCTACCGTATCTTGTATGAAGAAACTGTCGTCAATAAACGAATCGTCTTCATACACATCCGTATTACGCTAGAGCTTTGTGCCGAATATTTGAATATTTTCCCGATTCCGAGCTCTCTGGTCGGAAACTACCCATTGCTGTAGCTCTCAATATTTTCAGGCGACGCTGAAACAAATAGTTGCTTATAAAAGCCTGCGAAGAAATCGCTTCTTCCAGAGGCATATTTCGCAGCTGGTTTGCCACGTGACTCCCGAATACCTCAAACTCATCCGGCTGTTTCGTATGCGATATGTTTTTAATTTTGTCACCGCCTCCAAAATTGGTTAACTCCTGCGACCGGTGTTTTGCC